CGCTTCTCCGATCAAATCTCGGACTTTTTTCTACTTTTCTAGTTTCCTACCTTTTCTTTTCATCTACTTTGTACGATTCGCGCGCTACTATTAGGTTGTCCGAAAAGTTTCTTTCGTTTTATGAGGAAATAATAATAGACGCATAACGTTTTTTATTTTATATTATTTTGTCGAATTACGTACGTTTTGTTCCGTTGAGATGAACACCACGACATTTCACGCACTTGGTTTCACGTTGTACGAAGGTGCACCGTTGTAAAAAATTTTGTTTGCGAAAGAAAGACACTTTTCGGTTGTATTCGCTTTAGAAAGAAATAATAGACGCACGATGTTTCTTGTTTTATATCAGTTTATCGAATTATGCACGAACATAATAAAAGAAATGTAACGAAATGGGTCATACGTAATTCAATAAAATAACAGAAAACAGAAACTGTTGTTCATCCATTGTCGTCTTATAAAACGAAAGAAACTTCTCGGACAACCTAACACATCGAACGACTACGGTTGAATAAATTCTCTAAAAACGAAAATCTTTTTAATCGAATTAAACGATCGAGACGGCTGTAATACGTTCATAGGATTTTACGAATACCTACCGAGCGTCGAACGTTCGATGTGCTCAGATACCCATAAGCGATTTTTCTTTCTCGAGACGATTCCCTTTTGGTCACGAACAACCTGAGAATGGAAAAAATATCGTTAACGGGTGTGTTCGTGATAATCGTAACAATGTCGTTTAACCGATTTATCGAGGAATCGTTACGTGTGCTTTACGTTCTTTGCGAAATTCCACGACAAATATCGTTACGCGCGAGTTAATCGAGTAAACGATGCTTAAAACGATTGAAAATTATTCCTGATATCGCGACTGTAAATAGGAAATGATACAAAGAACAATGTTTTAATATCGTCTATGATAAAACTGTTAAATTTGTTATAGTAAAATTAATAGACATTCTAATCTTAACGAATTATCTTTTGTATTCGTAAGAGGTCCGACGATTTCTTCATCATGGAAAAATAATTTCAGCGATATTTTTCGCTTTTAACGCGTTTGCAACGCGTACGCGTATATCGTTGCCCGTTGCGCGTTATACGTTTTAACGTATGCGCATAATTTTCTATCTACAAATACGCGCAGCTTTTAACGAAGCAGAGCGAAACGTTTGTAAAATTGAAATGTTAGAACGATGTTTTCGATAAAATTCTTTGTGCCCGACAGGTCGAATTGCGAGACCGATGCGTTTAAAAGTGCAATTTTCGCGGAATTAAACGCACGAAATTAGCAATTCTGAATATTACGTGTAGTTTCTTTGCCTGGCCTTTGTCATATTCGTTTATTATCTTTATTATTATTCAACAGGTTATTCGCAACTCGTACAACAAAATACAGGAATATACATACGTCGATTCAAATTTCTTCTGTCAACCGTATAAATGGCTTTGCTTTGCATAAAACGATATTATCGAAACGTTATCACAGGTAGAATCTGGTTTTGGAAAAAATCAAAGAACATCGTGTGAAAATCGATCTTATTCTATTATTGTCTTAAATATCCTTTAACAAATACGTCGTATTCTTTCGTTCTACTGAGTTTAAATTACCCTTTGCGTTAACTATTCCCTTCGTTCACGTTCTTTTTCACTTTCCATCGTAATAAATCAGCCACGGATAGTCCATTTCGACGAATAGTTTCTCTCGATCGACGTGGCAACGGTCGAAAAGAAAGATTTAGGATATTGCGGTCGTTCGCCGATAAGGAGCACCATTTACGCCCAAGGAGATCCGTTCTCTTAGATAGAACGTTCATAGAGCTTTGGGTCTTTTCATTTTATAGGATTAATATAAGTCTAGAAATTGTACAGCCGAACTTTAAGACCTTCGCAGCTTGATTCGAACCACGCTACTTGGTCCTGTACAAATTTTGATTTTTTCCACGAAACGCGTATTCACAGCAAAAGTACCTTTTTCTGTAATCTTATCATGGCTTGCGAAAGTGTTCGAATAATCTTGATCGTCCCGAGGTGACGCGTATCTCGTGTTCGAGATACGATAGAAAACTGGGAAAATACCGAAAGGTCGGATGATACGGGCGTTCGTACGGTAAAATCGTAGAAAAGATTTCGATAACTTAACATCGTACGTGCATTTCGGTTTAGTTAACTATTTGATCGATTAAAAGTTTAATTAATTTATTTACATCGTTTGCGTGGTGTTGGCGTTAAAATTTCGAAAAAAACGTGCAGTTAGGAGAAAGCCGGGAACACATCGTATAATACGAGACTCGGATAGCCGAAACTTCACCGAGTTGGTGAAAATTTTGCGTAGGATCGCGTATTATGCCAAACATTTTGGAATCCCGTTAAGCGCTGTAACGAGACACGACTATCGTCGTGATTATGTTCGTTACATCGGCTGCGACTCTTCAATTTTTCTACTTTCAAGTCTATTCCTACTTCAACGAATAAAACATATTCGTAACGTTGGAAGAAGATGTTTAATCGAGAAAATTGGAACGAAAATCTGCGATCTTTTTTCATTTTGTTCAAAAATGGTACCCCGAAGATGGTACCCCGCTGGGGGCAGCCATCCACATGATAATCAAACAGCCAAAAAAATTCTACCAAATGTCCAAATTGGACAAATTGTGAATGTAAACAACTAAAGAAAAAAAAAGAAAAAATTTTGTTCAAGGCGAAGCTATTTTGTAACGCTGTAAGAAGGTAATTCGGTCGACCCAGACATAACTCGACCTGAAATGATCGAAAGGGCGTAGCAGGCTTTTTTTTTACTTATCGGAAGCATACAATTTATTCAGGTTCGCCAAAATATTAGGTTGCCCCAAAAGTGTCTTTCTTCTACGAATATGTCTTTTACGACAATGCGTCTTTATACAAACACGACAGCTGATCTGTCAAATGTCGTGGTTTTTGCCTTAATAGAACAAAATGGAACGTACGTAGTTTGATAAAATAACAGAAAACAAGAAATCTCGTGCATCTATTATTTCCTTATAAAACGAAAGACTCTTTTGGGACAATCTGATATTTCAACTGTCGATTATTCGTCGTGTTAAAATAAGCCAGAATATTTAACGAGCTATATTTAACGCTAATTGTACGTTTAAAGCTACTCCTCGTTCTCTGTACTAATCTTTCGTTGTTCTAATTTTCGAGAAATGTCCTGTAGCTTCCATATACGTTTTCCGAGCCGTTTCAAATTTTTCCAATATAATACTCGCGTCTCGTAACAGCGCCAGCGAAATTTCAAAATATCTCGCATGACACGCATCGTACATTCGTGAAAATATTCCGTGATAAGCGTTGGAACACTTTCTTAAGCCACTGGGTATATCGAATAATTTGGAAATCTCATTAGCACCGTAACGAGACGAAACTATCGTGATTATACGTGCAAAATGTGAAACAGATTTGAAAATGTATCACAAAAGTATCGGAAAAATATATTTCGCGAAGATCATCGAATTATTCGAAAAACCAATTTTGTTCGCTACATCGATAAGCCACGGTAGATAGCGAGATCGTTTTTGGGACTAATAGTACGCTTAAAACTACTATTCAGGCCGCTAAATTCATTTCACTAATACTAAATAAACTACGTCCGCAAATAAAAGTCCAGAGTAACGTAATTTCCATCTGCGTCGTCGGTTTCGTTTCAAATTTGACTGTTATCGTTGAGAATCGTGGATCTTTGACGCCGAAATAATGTTATAGGAACGCTAAATGTATACTTGGGATTAATATTAGAACAGTAATATATTTATTTTATGGACGATTTCTTATATATTCATCGATACACACTTGCACGCGTCTCAGCACTTCCTTCTATACCCGACTGTTAACCTACTGACTAATTTATACATTCATCTGTTTTCGAGACATACCTCCACACACGTATCTCCACACACTGATACCCACATACAAGTATCTCTTACTACGTATTTAACCCAGTCCGGCACAGAAAATTATACATATCTCGACGGTTATAATTCGGATGTTCTCGCAGCGATTCCTGTCTCGTTGCAGCGTTAACAAAGTGTCGCGTAACGCGCATTTGGAAAAAATTGTCCGCTGCGAACGTTCGAATAGCAGCGCTAGCCACCGCACAAAAAGCGGGAAACAATTTTTCCTTGGGAAACTTGGAAGCTCGTGTCATCGTTTAGAACGGCGTACCTGCGCTGTGTTTTATCGATGTTCGGTACTTTGAAGTCTAAGTATAAACCTTGCTTGCACGGTGCCACTAATCCGTGACAAATCGAGCAAAGTAGAGGCTGCATTTCATCGAATCAAGGAACGTTTGACGTGTACACCGTGACGTACAGGAACTTGTACATCTCTGAAAGCCAACGCTTTGATGTTTAACGGTGAATGCACAATCCTCAGAAACGTTGCTGTCGTTGAAATTAAGCCAGTCGTTTCTGCCGGTGTACGCGGAATTTCCTTTCTACGGGTTCTCGCGCACAAACGTGTTTATGTTCATTTACACCGTGTTTCTAAACGAGAGGTCTAATCAGTTTGTAGAGCCGATTTATCGGTTTCTGTGCGTACAGTTACGTTACCGTTCGTCGAACGAATCATGCAAACCAGGCAAGCAATTGCTCGATTTTAAGACGCGACGCGATAAACACGAACAGCTGGTTCAGTGGGACGACGATAATATCGTCGATCAGAACGTTCCATGTAAAATTAGTTAGAAACAATCCGTCTGTTATAATCGAACTTGGGCTATTGGCATCGACTGTGGTAATTACATTTGGGGAGCAAGCGTAATTAGAAGAATACGAATCCTTAGAAAATTAGCGAATAGTTTCTTTCGAAATTTACTCTTGACCGAAGCATTTATCTTTTATACGATGTCGCACACAGCAACTGGAGAACCCGGAGAAGCATCACGATCGCGAGAATTACGCTCAGCTAATAAACGCAAACGAACGAGAGACGAGTACTCCTCTGGTAAAGTTCGGCAAGCAAATGTCATCTTGTTTCTAGAAATAATTGTTAATAAGGAATATGCCAACAAGGAATTTGCTAATAAGCGTAACGTCGTATTAAGCTTTAGGCTAAACGTAATTTGTACGAATGAGACGACAGTTCGTAACAAATTGAGTTCGATAACGACAATGTTAATAGTTTATCGTCTGTGCAACGCTATGAGGCGATTCTTCTCGAAAAATCACAAGTGACGAAATGACGATAATTAACGGATTCCATATTATTATTTTGGTGAAAGCGTAGTAATTGGTAGTTGCTGCCAGGAGAAAAGGGAATGAGCGTTTCGTCCCAGGACTACCGGTGGACTCGTCAGTAAAGATATACCCGGTAGTCCCTGTCTTAGACGTAGAGGGAGTCTCACTAGGTGCGGTATTTATATCGTGCGCTCGTATATTCGACCGCTAGCGAGACAGACAGACTCGTTGTAGTCGTAGTAGCCCTCTGGTGTTGGCGGTTGGTATCCGCGGTTCGCCCGGGAGGTGTTACGATCAAATAAATTCTAGGTAGTTTTAACGCGAAAGATTTACACCGTTCGAATAAATTCTCGTTCGTACGTATTTGAGCAAACGCTGGTCTCGTGCGAAACGTGACAATTAATATGATTTTTACGCATTTACAGGAGATTTGAAGATGCAAATATTCCCAAAGCATACGCAATACACGCAAAAAGATATATTATAAAATTGCACGAAGTTAATACACAAATATTTGAGATATAATCGTAGATGAAACCTTCAGCCTGAGATCCAATCGAATCGGTAGCCTTTCTAAAAACCGATCTCTACTTTCAAATCTACTTTAAATTTCACCCTGTTTTTATGAGAAAATTTTCAAACTAATACGATGCTCCTTGGAGAGCTCTTCTCTGCCTTCTCTTTCGCTCTCCACTCGTCTCCCCCTAGAGAGCAGAGTAATAGGGCTACGTGTGCTCGTAGTCGGAGACAAAATTGGCGTTCAGGTGATATTCTACGAGAGCTTATTTTTCTAGATGACTCGTAACCCTGGCAAGTGTCAGTCTTTAATCCCTTGACGTATAATTTTGTTCCGCCTAACCGGTCAAAGATGCGCAATTTCTTCCTCCATCTACGTTCGCGATCTAAAGACGCTCGATTATACGCGCACAGAGACGCGCGAAGATACTGCAAGACTCTTAGAAACTTTTCACGCGTGCATTATACGAAACATTTCGAAATTTCATTAGCAGCACGACGAGACACGACTATACGTGATTGTGAAATTTCTAAAGTTTCTAATTTCTCTACAAAATCGTATCCAGAAGTTACATAAAATATCTATACGATATTTGTCGCGCGAAAACGACCAAAATATTTGAGCAGTCAATTGTTCAATTATTAGTCAATTATTTAGCGAAACGATCTTTATCACCAATTGTGATGTTTAAGACTACTTCTATTCATGCAGTATACTAATCTTTCGCTAAATGTATATTTGCCATAAATGTTACAGTTACAAGACATCGTAACCGTTATAAGAGAAGTTTATAAAGTTGCGATATAAAAGTCGATGTTTTTAATTAAAAAATTTTGATCGCGAATAATCGTTAAAACGGATTAGTTTTCTTGATTACCGGTAATCGTTATCGACGAGGGAAATTTTATTTTAGTTACCAGTAACCGACATAAATGGCCGGTTTTTTAAATATTCTTTTTTTTTTTTTTGTTACGAGTAACTGTTATCCGTGGCGGGAAAATTTTATTTTCATTACCGATGACCATTATCGACGGCAAAAATTTGTTCTACATTGTCAATTGCCACTGGCTATATTATCAATCGTTATTAACGTCACTGATAATTATTGGGTTGGCAACTAAGTGATTGCGAATTTTGTCAATACCACCTAATGACAAAACCCGCAATCACTTAGTTGACAATTCGATAGTACGTATATTCGCAGTTATTCATAAAACTCGCGTGTTTTATCGAGCAAACAAGAAGATATGAAAATATACGAAACGAATAGGATGAAAAAGATATCGCGGTACAGTATTTTTATTAACAGTTGCATTAACGTTACACCACGGTATCTTTTATCTTATTCTTTGTTTCGTACATTTTCATATCTTTTTGTTTGCTCAATAAAACATATCGATTTTATAATTAGGCTTCTTTACGTTGTCAATGAAAACCGATTATCAACGATGTCAATAAACACCGACGATAGTCGAATGCGACTAGAAAATATTTTTTTCATCGATATTAGTTGGCGGTAATCGAAACTCAATTTCGCCATCGATAATGATTATCGGTAACCAAGGCAAAATTCGGTTTTCGTTGATAATGGTCACTGGTAACCGGAAAAAATTCCGGTCACTTCCATTGATTGCCGGTTAAAATGAAATTCCCATGATCTAAAACTATTATTGAGCGACCGAGGAACTAATTTCATCGTTCGTAATGATTATTCGTAATCAGAATAATTAACAATTAAAATTCTTGAATCGATCTCACTTTTGGAGAAATTAAAAACTGGCTTCCGTTTAAATAAAAACTAGTTTCTATCCAATGATCTTCCCTCCAAAAAATATTTAACATAATTGTTATCTTGCAGCTTCGCTTCTAACTTCCACGTAGATTTCCAGATTGATTTCTAATTTTCCTATTGTAATGTAATAATTAATACGATATAATATAATAATCTTAATATTAAATTATACATCTTAATCTTTTCTAGTAGGATTTTTTTATTTATTTATTTTTTATTTATCTTATTTGTGACACTGACGTGACGTGACACTGACAACAGTCTCCTCTCAACTCGTTAACGGCTACCTCTTGGTACCATGGCTCCGGTATACGTGGCACGTACACGTTCCACAGACGCGGATGACCCATGGTCAAGTAGAGCTTCTTAATTACCCAAGGTTTCTCCCCGATATTACGATATTATAACAACGATAGTTCCAATGCAGTGCGTTTGATACACGTCCGGCAGTGAGAAACGACGAGGATGCAACGACGTTCGAAAAAGTTTGAACCGCAAGGCGGGTAATGCTTCGAGGATTCCTCTTTAAACGAAGAACTTCGACGCAGTTGAACGTTGTCAAGTTAAAATTACGCCAACTATGTTCGAGTAATGCGCTTTCCCGCTTTATGCTGCTTTTAGGTTCTGAAGAGAAAAATGATTTAAGTATTTCGGGTGGAAATTTTCCGAGTAGAACGAGAGGTTTAGTTCTCGTTTTTGCAGTAGTTGTCGTTTTAATAATTTCAACCTTCTTAATGCAACCTACATGCCACAGTTTCGTAGTAGAAACATTTATTTCCTGGCACAGCGCTTAGAAATGATCAGATTCGAATACACGCGTATTGAAGTTAGTTAACATTTTAATTGAATATAAAATACACTATCGGGTGTTTCATGGAATAATGTAAATGAATTTCTCGTAATAATATAGGAATTTCATTAAAACGAGTAAATCAACACGTTGACCGGCGAAGTTTAAACTACTTGTTGAGAAGCTTAACGATAATATACAGGGTGGTTGGTAACTGGTGGTACAAGCGGAAAGGGGGTGATTCTAGGCGAAAAAAGAAGTCGAAAATATAGAATAACAATTTTTCGTTCGAGGTTTTGTTTTCGAGAAAATCGACTTTGAATCTTCGCTCGGTACGCGTCGTGCACTTTATCGCGTCTCGTTATAACGGACCTCGCTGTAGATCGTTGTCTCGATTGACGTTATTTTTTCGATGTTTAAAATTTTGAAATTGTTAAATTTTTATTCTATATTTTCGACTTCTTTCGACCAACCGCCCTGTATATGTACCTGTTCTTCGAACATCACGAATCAGCCAAAGTTGCTGATAATTGGAAATAAATTTCATTGATATTTTGTACTGTTAATAATTAATACGATATTGACTATAAAAGAGAACATACTTCTTTATTAATACGTACTTGCAAATTAATTTCATCGATATTTTGTTTCGTTGATAACGAAGAAGAAAACATAGCTGATTACTAATACAAATTAGACAATGAGACAAAGCTTCTGACAACGTACGTTGGAAATAAGATTTCACTGATATTTTGTCTTCTGAATAATTAATAAAATATTGATCGTGAAAGAAAAATATCGATATTCATAAGGCATTTTAACAGGCAACGGTGTATAAATGCGAGGTACGGTAAAATGGAAGATGACGTCCGGCATTATCTGCCTGTTCATTTTACGCAGCTGCGAAGTTAAATTGAAATTCACGTATTTACAGAAAGTAATATCCTCCTCTAAGTGACGGTGCTAAAATGGTCAACAGAAATGGGCTACGTCAGTCAGAGCTTTCAATTACAGGGACGAAGTTGAAGAGGACTCTGCAGAAATTATATATGGAAAAATACAACTAATTGTTGCTAGTCTTATTATCTTTTTAATTTTAATTTTTCATTCCCCACATAGTTGATTATTTTATTTCTTATCAATTCTACTTCGTTTTTTGATAATTTCTTATTTACCCAGTTGACGTTTAACAACGATCAACGTTTTTGATATTAATTAAAAAAAGCTTCGCATTACGCAGCTGTATCGATTATATTAAATATATATACTTTGAATAAATAGAATTAAAAAGAGAGAAGAAATGAAGAAATAAGTAATTAATTTACTTACGAAAAAATATCAATGTCTTTGTCAAATTATAAACGTTATTTATATTAAATAATATTAATCCTGTATCGTTGATAGAATTTGTTTACTACATATATATATATACAAAAAAATTATATATAAAAAGAAATGTATATATAAAAAAAATTGTACAGTGTACAAGTATAGCAAATGAAGATAGTGTAGCCTGAAAAGTAGTATTAGACAGTAACTAGCCAGACGCGAGTGTTTCATTGATCGTTCGATGTTTCTTATTACTAACGTGAATAGTTTTATGAATTTGCCAAAGTAAATTAATATTTCTTCGTTATCTAGTAAAAAAAATGGATCGGTGTTCTATCAATGATTAAAGAAAAGAATTAAATATTAATAAATTATTATATATATTAAATTAATTAAGAATTAGTTATTGTACTTTAATTACGATATGTAAAATAACGAATACAAGGATTTAAGGTGTCAAGATTAATAAAGCGGTGACGTGTGATCAAAATTACTTCCGATGCTTCGTCGTACTTTAATTTTACGCTGCATTCCGACGATTCAATGCCCGAAAGTTCTTAATTTCATTCGCTGGAATTTGTAATTCTTGAAGCGAATTTCTGCCAAGGAATTTATATTACCGTTTATATACGTCTAGAATTATATTTTGATCAATTTGTTCCGACTGAACTTGGTGAATTATTTCCAACTCTCTGCAGCTACGTGTACAATCATAAATCGCGAATTTCGGTCACAATGGTTGAAGTTCCCGATTCAACTACGAACATCATCAATTTCTCGCGTCGTAAAACTTTCATGATTTTCAAAAGTTCTAGAAATATTAAATAAAATATCTTTGCGCATTAAACGACAGACTGCAAGCGGTCCCGGCTTTTACACCGACGAAAATTACGATCGATTTCCGATTACTGTACGTTGTGAATTATTTTATCGGAATAAGACGAATAATTAATCGCACGAAATCAGACGAGCAATTTGTCTTCCTGTGCCTCGATATCTAAAAGCTGTTAACGTCAGAAAGTTGATAAAAAATTACCGTCGCCTGTTAGTCAGATTGTCAATGAAAATTATTGTTAGCAGATATTAACCCTTATTTCGGAAATTTAATTTGCTCCTACGACAAATTAACGCCACGATAAAAGATCATTTTCGTGCTAAACACAAACATTTGCACCTGAAAATTCCGCATTTAAAAGCAGGAAAGAACGAGATCTCCGCGTGAACTGTCTTTAGACACGTCGTTCGCAGATAACAGAGCGATTGAGTCATCCTCGGCAAAGGAATATAAAAAATTGGATGACAGCAGGAGGAGCAAGTTACGTTGAGCGGAAAGAAAAGGCCGCGAGACTGTACGCGATTCAGATGCTGCGATGAGCGTGTAGACGATAGATATTGACAAGGAGGTAACGGAAAGATACGCGGAATCTATGAAAATAGAAAGAAAGAGACGTGGCAGCGTATAACGAAATAACGTAAAATAACGAGAATGAATAAAGAGGTGGAAAAAACGTCAGAAAGAGGAGTTCGCAGCGAATATTTGAAATAAAGGAAATAAGGGAAATAAAGAAACGAAGAAATAAAAGATAAAGAAACGAAAGGAGCGGGCAAGAAAAGAGATAAAAGAACGGTAAATATGCGTAATAAGAAAAAAAAAAATAAAAAAAGCCATACCACGTGCTGCGAGAAGGGAACCGTTAAATAAAAATCCTTAAATAAAGGTGGGAAAAAAACGAAGATAGATAAAAGTTAGAAAATTGCGCGTTAAAGGGACTGATCAAAGATTTGGACGAAGCGTAGTATCGCAAAATTCAGCCGGAAGGAAGACGCGATTTGAGCCAGGCCTCCGCTCCAATCAATCGACTACACTCGAATGCGATTTCTTGAAAGATATCGAGTGATATCCAATAAAGCAAAGACCTGGTGAGTGCAGCTTTAGATAGTCTATCGATCGCCTCGCAACCACGGTTCAACCCTTAGAGGTACAAAGTTAAAGCGTACAGGGAGTTATAATATCGGACCGCTTCTTTCTTCTTCTTTCTTTCTTTTTTTCTTTTTTTTTTTTTTTTGTTTGTTTATTCGTTGTTTTATTTATACGAGCATGTATAGCGTAGAGGCTGCTACCGTTACACACCATGTGTTGCATCCCACACCAGGCATGCAACCCCTCGTACGTGTACTTTCTACGTCACACCGTCGATGCATTTTTGACGTCACGTGTTGTTTGCAGTATCGAGAACAGCGTGGTCTGAACGATCGTCGCGATGTTGCACGAACGAGAACTGTCGACTATTTTACTTCCACATCGTCGTTTATCAACTTCCCCAATGAAAAACAACACGACCCATTTAGGACTCGTGCAAGTTTCTTCGTAATAAGTACTCGATATTAAACGCCAAGTACAACGTAGCGACGTTATCGACTTTCGTAATAAAAATTATCTCTATTTCTCGTTTCGAAGGAAACTCGAAAGGACGAAGAAGAAGAAGTTGTCTCGGCGTAGTTTTAATATATAGATATATATGGCAAAGACAAAAATAGCGGAGATAGTTTAACGTGCAAGTTTGATGTACAGAGCCCGGGACCAGTGATACGAAGAAGCAAGCGCCGCGTAATTCCTTGTGGAAATACAAATAAAATATAATATATAGCATAAAATTTTTGTATTCTCGGCTTGGCTGTCGAGAAAATCGAGTTTGAAAATTTATCAAGCATACCGGAACGTGGGTAATTCCGGACTGGACGGGACTGAATAATCGACAGGGTGGTCATTCTACGCGTGAAAACAAGTCGAAAATGTGGAGTAACGTTTTCCCGTTTAAGGCTTCATTATCGAGATAATAAATGTTAACGAATAAACGAGAAATTTTCAAATTTAGTTTTCTCGGAAACAAAGCGTCCTGCGAAGAAATTTTATTTTACGTTTTTGGCTTATTTTCGCAGGTGAAACCACCTCCTGTCTATTTAGTCCGGAACCTACTCTCGTTTAAATATACTTGATAAATTTGCAAATTAGATTTCCTCGCAAACTAAGCCGAGAATGACAAAATGTTACGTTTTAAATAAAAGTTAGATAATAGAAGAGAATTAGATAACGATAAATAGAAAGTAACATTTTGTCAGTATGTATATAATTAATTATATAATTTATTAATAATTTATCTTGTCTGTCGGCTGCAAAATGAGATTGATCTACATACGTAGATTTCTCATTCACACTGTCATTCAACCACAATACACAGATTAAATATAGATTATTACATGTATAATTAACTTACTGTTGTAAATTTAACATAGGAATAATATTTGGAATTACAGGTCATCGCATAGAACATTGTTTAAGTCGAATTTGTTATTGATACTAATACAGTACGCTCTATAGCATCAACATTGCATTAATTATCGGCTTATTATTATTATTATCATTATTACCACTGTTATCATTGTTATCAATGTTATCATTGTCATCATTCTTATTACTGTTATCACTGTTATCAGTCTTATCATTCTCATTACTGCTATCATTGTTATCAGTGTTATCGTTCTTATCGATGTTATCATTGCTATCATTCTTATCGTTATCATTCTTATCGCTGTTATTATTCTTATCACTGTTATCATTCTTATCGCGGTTATCGATGTTATCATTGTTATCGGGGTTACCAATGTTATCATCCTTATCATTCTTATCGCTGTTATCGTTTTTATTATTCTTATCATTGTTATCATTGCTATCATTCTTATCACGGTCATCGCTGTTGTTATTCTTATCACTGTTATCATTCTTATCGCTGTTGTCAATGTTATCATGGTTATCGATGTTATCGCCATTATCATTCTTATCACTGTTATCGTTCTTATCATTGTTGTCAGTGTTATCATCCTTATCACTGTCGCCATTCTTATCATTGTTATCATTGTTATTATTATTATTATTATTATCTGTTTATAGCAGCGAGGTTCAAAGGGCAGTGCTGTCTCTGTTACAAAACACGCACGTTTCATGCTAATTGTCGAAGCAACTTTACACGAGAGATCGACGAATATAATTTCTCTTTAATTGTCAGAACATCGAAATCTTCAACAAATACAAAATCATAATACGTAAATAGGAAAGCGATAAAAGTCAACGATTCGTTTATCGCAATTTCTAATTTTAACAACGTTTCAAACGTTATTCCAGCGTATATTGCTCGAAATTGAATAGAAATTTGTGCAAGTTCTTAGTTAATAACGTTAGAGAAACGAATAGCGCGTTGATAATTTGTAACTCGTATTAGTTCGTGAAAGTCTGAGTATTATGTGCTCCGGTCGAAAAGTTTATCGACTTGATAGATTAATGTAACATTGCGACAGCGTAGCAAAGAATACGTGTTTAACATTCGATTAATATTACCCTTAGCTTGAAATTAACTTCTTCTTGAAAATTTAATATCGATAGGACAAAGAGGATATCACGCGGATCATCTGGAGATCAAAAATTAAATTACTTGGTAATTTGATGTTAAAATTTCTTAGTATACATTAATGTGTTTTGCTAATTGAATATACACGAGATTAACTTGCGAAATTCTTCGTATTCAGCGATTACCGATAAACTCCGATCGATTTATCGACCAATTAATTCGTGTATATTAAATTTCAGGATTGAACGTTTCTAAGAACTTGCGATATTATTCATCGAATTATAATAAAACAATTAGCTAGCAATTCGTTTGTTCTGTTATTTTATTATGTATACGTTGAACAGAATTATACATGTTTCTCGTACCTACTACGTGCAGACATAATTTATTAATATGGTTTATGATCATTTATAATTTAATAATCATTTAACGTTGAAATTCGATATAATATCCCAGCGAAATTATTCTTTGACTATCATAATGAATTTAATAGCAACAAATTTTATATATAAACGTAATAATGAATGCAACGAAAGTAAAGGTATTATATTCACTTTCGTTCAAGTAATCGATTAACCATTAGAATAGAATCTAACGATTATCAATATTTTAAAGAGCATCGCTTGTTTACTTCTTACAGCTTCGCCGCCTTCCGCATATTTTATATTTTCGTTCAACGTTTTAATTTTAGTACACGAACAACTTTCATAAATCGTGAGAGCTAATCTGTTACAATGTAATCAGAAATGATAATTAAAAACTGAGCAGGTTAATTAGCCTAGTTCCATAAAGGACCAAATTAAAAATCCGATCAACAACGTACTTGAGCCAAGCTTAAATTCAATGCGTGTGTTAAATTAACGTTTTAACTTATTAATAATTCAACGATATTTTCCGCTGCATTGATCCTGTTTTTTTTTTTTTTTTTTTTTAATTCAGAACGAAATACAATAGCCTGCTTTTTTATTTATTACCGTTACACGCTGTCGCTATTATCAGTTGTTTCGAAAAACTAGAAATAACAGGGAATTAAATTTCTATATATCCGTCGCTCGTTACATTACATCGACGTTTTATAGATATTTATAACGACGGTCTCTGACATTTACGTTGTCGATCGATATAAGATAAATGAATTTCAAGAAAGAAGAGAATTGACATTTAATCGTTTCAATTGCAATTACGCGTAATCACAAACCATTTCGATAAAGGGAAATTTAATCTTACAAATACGAAATAACCCGATCAGATAGTCAAAATATTTTTAACCCTTCGATAAATAGACGCGGTAGAGGCCATTCGATTCTGAAATTGAAATTTGAATTTTCGTTTCAGTATATCTTTTAGTAAACAATTTCATTTGCCGTGGAAATTGAAGTTAGGACGTTTTAACGCTTTTTATTCCCCTTTTTTGCTGGTTATGACGCTATAATCGTAATGCACTTGCAATGGTTATAATGTTCTTAAACTTTCTTCTGTTCATATTACGTTGGACATAAATATATGTGAAATACGATAAACATATATAATAATAATAATAATAATAACAATAATAATAATAATAAGAAGAAGAAGGAGAAAAAGTAGAAGAAGAAGAATAACAAGAATGACAAGAATGTCAAGAATGTCAAGAATGACAAGAATGACAAGAATGACAAGAATGATAAGAATGGCAAGAATGGCAAGAATGATAATAATGATAATAATAGTAATAATAGTCGCTTATAGGTTTCCACTTACAGCGATGTTATCTCGATAGGTACAGAGGTTTTTCTGATTTTATTCTTAACCAGTAGGCTGTTGCGACCCGTTTGAAACGACGAGTGTACTCGTCAGACACAAAGTGACTGTTACAATACAGAATTAAGTTGTAACGAAACGACCGTTTCATTTTTTAATGTTATTACCAACGGGGCTCGTAAGGCAAAATAGTGTCATTTCTTCGTGACGACCATACTCGTCGAAAACGGCTAACTGGTTAAGTCTATCCGTTTAATGTTCTTATTATTTTCCACAGCTGCCTGCTGTCTTCCTATGAAATTTCCTACTTTCCTCTTATAAAATTTCTACGGAGACGAGTTCCACTGTCGCAAATTTAGCTCCTCGAGCAATCGAATTATTTATGGGGTAGTCCAGCAACCATAACAGGCACGGTAACGCAATGAAAATAATATAATACGTAGATATAACGTATAAATTAATTATATCACGTATCATGGAATGATATATCATCGATAATGTCATTACCAAAGCGTCGATCTGAATAGTTTGGTTTAAGTTTGATAGCTAATCGCTAGCAAACTGCATCGTAATAAATTGTCCTGTCTGATAGGAAGCAATTATACAAATTGAACGCGTGAATAGTCCCAGGGATCGTCTGAAGAAAGCATTATCTCTTGGAAATTTCATTAGAAGGTAAACACTGCGTGGGTGGAACCCTATCTGTAAATTTGCAGTTATTTCTTATTGGATGATCTTCTCATTAATTTTACAGGGGGTGCTAATAAGCGGACTGACGAGCGAGGGTGACATTCCCTCGTGAACGCTTCTGTAAATTCTCCGCCGCCTTTCTAACCGATTCTACAAAATCGATCAGGCGAGAATTTATCAATAAACCGCAAATGGTCGCAAAAATTAATATCTTTGTAAATACTATTGGCGGAACGGAGCTTAAATAAAGTACTTTGCCTCTGATATTTCACATATTTTCGCCGTGTTACGCACAAATTTTCCAACAAATGTATAAATTTTAGCGGCCTGCTTGAAAACCACAAATACGATAAGTTCGTGTTTGTTCGTTCGATGATCTTCGTGTCGCTTGTTGACTAGAAAGAAATATTTTGATAAATAAGAAACAATAGATAAATAATAATTATATAAATAAATGAATAAATAAATCTGGAATATTTTGCAAAGGAACAGTAATATTGGATCGACTTTTCCGTTGGTCCAACTTAATAAACTTGATTGCAGAAGATAAAATTCTCGATCGTTGATCAAAGCAAACTCGAAGATGCAAAGACACCTCTCTACACGCTGCAAGCATAAAACTTCAGAAGATAAAGTAAAAGATCGAAATCGTAAATTTGAAGGGGTAAAGTCGCTGTTCCGATGTAAGCGAGATGTCATTAAGTTTCACTCTCACCTACGAATGGTCATAAATGTCTGAAAGTGTACAGAAGACAGCAGGGACAAACGGTATAGCATCGATAAAACTTTTATTATTAAAAAAAGAATTACCACATTCGAAGTTTTTATTTGGGGACTTTGAAACGTTCCCTGCAACCTTTAACTTTTTCTTTTTATACTTCGAAAGCAGTTTTACAAGTTTCCTACCCTTTTCATTATTTTAGACGTAATAAGACGGTATTTTTAAGATGAAAAAGACAGTACGTTTGTCATCGATGTCAGTCCGCTTAGATTCTATGGTAAATTTATACAGAATATCTTAATCAGTTAGCTGTCTTTGACGAGTATACTCGTCACGAAGAAACGACGATATCTTGCGTTACGACGAGTATACTCGTCATGCGTAAAGAATAGTTAAAATTTGCCGTCTCAATTGCGATAAATTTCAGCAATAAAATTGAAAAATAAAAAAGTCGTTTCGTTACAACTTAACATTAGAACTACCGATAGTGAACACGAAGCTATTTCTACCAAAACCAGTGAAAATGACTGGTCTTTAAAAAATACGTAACAACAGAATATTTTTATTATATAATATTTTTATATTATATTATTGATTTATTACTTTCTTACAGAAGGAATTCCATATTATGTAATACATTTTTGAAATTATTAATCCATCTGGGACCATCATTCCTAAACTATGTTGACACGTTTCTAAAATTGTAGAACCAGTAATTTTGACTGGTGAGATATTTCTAGTGTTAGCATCTAGTAATCGATCCGGAATTTCCATTGTTATCAGTGTTATCATTCTTATCATTGTTTTCATTCTCAATGACGTTATCGTTGTTATCATTCTTATCACTGTCATCATTCTTAGCCCTGCCATCATTCTTATCACTGCCATCATTGTTATCATCCTGATCATTATCACCAGCGTTATCATTCTTATCGCGGTCATCAGTGTTATCATTCTTATCACTGCCATCGGTGTTATCATTCTTATCACTGCCATCAATGTTATCATTCTTATCACTGTCATCAATGTTATCACTGTTATCTTTCTTATCGATGTTATCCTTGTTATTATTCTTATCGCTGTTATCGATGTTATCACTGTTATCACTCGTATCATTGTTATCCTTCTTATCACTATTATCAATGTCATCACTGCTATTAATCTTATCATTCTTATTATTATTATTATCTGTTTATAGCAGCGAGGCTTAAAGGACAGTGCTGTCTCTGTTACAAAACACAGGAATAAATAAAATTACCTCACAAACTTTCATTCAGCGTTTCGTCTATCCTTGGTTCGTACGAACACCGATAAATGTTATATCGAACGATACGCGGTAGAAATTTTAAGAACGCGTGGCAAGTTGTATAAAACGAGGAAACTGGTTAATTGGGATTCGATAAACAGATTGTATGACCCTTTTACACTTTGACAAGTACCGGTTATTTTGACTGGTATAAGTAGCCTTGATACAAAATTATTTTGAGTTTGAATACATAAAAAAAACAAAATAAAATTCATTATATTATTCTTTTAGTTATCGTTACAAAAGTCATTACATCGTTGCGGGGGAAAAATATAACATGAAGTAGGAATTTTAAAATAAGATTGTGAAACCAGTTAATTTGACTGGTATGATAGTTCTACTGTTAATTCTATACTGCAATATTTGCGCATAACCTGTGTTTGACTCGTCATCGCTTACTTCTCGCGACGCATTTTAGGAACGCGTTTTTCAAACAGGTAGCAGCAGTCGACTGGTCGAGTAGATTATTAACAACTTCGACGAGAAAGTTTCTAATTTCACGAAGGAAACGTAAAATGTTGAAATTGGTAATTTTACACGCGAGAAAAATGTAAAAATTGTATAGCTCGTTCAGTCGCTATCTCCCTTTCAGAACATTTTAGAAATCATCTACGAGATCATATTGGCCATTAATTCTCAATCTTTTCGTCCCCTTCGTGTCTCTTATGCCAGATCGAAGGGAATGTCGACGATAATTTACCTTCCACCCTTGGTGAACAACTTTCAGATAGAAATGGCGGAACCTTCGAGATATATCGAATGATATTTATTAAGCCGTCCCATTAGGGCGAACGAGAACGGAATGTAGCATTAACTTGGTACATAAAATCCCACCCCACTTTGCCTCCGGCATATTGCTTGTACGGTTCTGCAACTATGTAACATTTGTCCTTAATGCGATACAAGTATGAGAAGAGCTTCGGTATGTTGCAGCCTAAGTATCGTGAATTACGAGCGCAATAAAATTTTTAAAGCTACAACAAGGGAAAGAACGTTCCGATTTGTTTAATTCTTTTAATTCGAATCGTGAAAAAAGAACATGTTGATTCAAAATGATAGTAACTCGTAGTATGAAAAAAGTAAGGGCGAGCGTGTAAATTAATTTGGATTTTTCAAAATATTTGTTCAGATGGCGAATCGAAGAGACGAAAGGTGAATCGAAAGTTGAAAGATTTCGGAATAAATTATTTTCTTAACGTTCTGTAGGTATGCGAATCTTCAAAAGGTGTTACAATTTTCGTTGCTCTAAGCCCAGATAAAAAAAAGCTTGAAAAATAAACGTCCCTCTACCTTGTTCGTCGCAAAAACTCAAGTCGCTTGGTCTGACCTTACAAAGAAGTTACAAATTCAGTTGCCAAGGATGTTGCGATAGTTTTGCTGTTCGCTGTACATGACCATTCTATGGTAAATCGATCATTTTTTCGCATCCATGTCAGGGATTCTTCTTTTTCCAACTCGAGAAAGCGAAAGAACTTTCGACAGATCTAACGCACGAAGATGGAAGAGATCGATTTACGTAACTGGAAAGATGCGTAGCTATCTTTGAATAAATAAAAAAGTTACGTATTATTTAAACGAAAAAGGTCGTTTCAACGAAGATCCATTGTCCCTATCGCGCTCTCTTTTCTGTCATCTTTACACATTCATTGGTAGTATTATGGTCATATAGCACTTTCAATGTGATGTTTCGGCCATGTAACGAGCTATCCTGACCACATCGAACTACCACGGAAAATGCAGTCGAACAAGCAGACTAACGCCAATGATTCATGGGCTCGTGGCAAACGAAAATTAATCGCCACGAGTCTTTTTCGTGTCGTTAGTACGTACTATGTATGTATGTATGTATGTATGTACGTGCATTTATATATGTAGCTTGCTCCGGACATACAGACTAACAGATAATAACCGAAGAGAAATATCCAGACTGTGTCACGCGACAAAAGCCACTATAGCATGATTTAGGATACCATCAGTGATAAAGGATATGCATCTATTATTTATAGTGATAAAAATTCTATTACTTTCTTCTCACAGTACTGTGTGTAACTAGACTGCGAATATTTATTGCGCGTTCGTATTTCCACGAAAATAATTAAGAGAATGACACTCGAACAGCAAGTTGTCGTTATTTATCAAATATTATATCAGATCGTGGCAAAAGTTTCTTTCGTTCTATAAGGAAATCACAGAGGCACAATTATTATTTTATCGAATTACGTACGATTCATTTTGTCCTATTAAGACGAAGATCGCATTGTTCGACCGAGTTTTAGTGTTTGTGTAAAGACGCGTTATTGTAAAAGACATGTTCGTAAAAGAAAGACGATTTCGGGACGACCTGCTGTTGTTACAAGCAACAGGTACTCTCTACTTCGGATATTTTATACGTTTTTCGACATTCGATACGTTTTTACACGTTATGAGCACGTTGTATGCGTTTCTGCATGATTTCAGATTTCTCTTGAATGTATAAAAGGACCACGATTCTAGACTACATATTCAAACGAAGACAAATAAAAACGCGGTTCACCAACCAGGCCAAATATCAACGCGCGAATTCAACGAATTGTGGAACTTTGAGATTGCGCGCGGAGAATACGTAAATGCGTATCGCGCAATTTTTATTTTCTGCCACAATTCACCCTCAGAGAGTGAAATCTACCTCTGAAAATTGTCCGCTATAGCTGTAACGTTGACAGATATTTTTATCGAACGATAGCGCTGATCGAAAGACGTAACTCTCGTTCGAAAAGTTTCTTTCTATGTACTCGCGGTTCGAAAGCTACAACGGAAAATCGGAAAGTAGGCCGATTGTCAGAGGTGAATTTCATACCCTTGGAGCGACTTTGGACAGCAAAAGAACGTCCTGTACGCGTCTCCGAAGTTTCATAATCTTTCGAAACTTGCCTTGTAAGTAGAAAATTTGTTTATCTATTTTGAATATTTTATACGCTTCTGCATTATTACGTACATTCTGTGTACTCGTTTTCTAATTTCTCACAAACGCAGAAAAAATTGTACTACGTGACAACTGTTCTATGCATCTTGTTTTTTTAAAAATGAACGACGATCGCAAGAGCTCGTAACGTTGAAAAACGAGCCACTGACTCTCGTCGTTGATCTTTCAGATCATCCTCGCTTTTATTTAATTACAGCCAAGTGGAAAACATCGGTAGCGAACACAACGTCGTCGATATTCCGTACAATACGCCGTGTTACGATATTACGGTGAACTTCATTTGTCGGCATCGGCTTCTCCTTGTCTTCTGCTTGCGATCTGATCTTTGCGATTCTTGCGAATACACCTTTCAACGACGCTTTAAACTCGTCGTCGTTTTCCAGGACGACGCACACCGCGCCCGATGTTTCGCTTTCTCTTGCTGGAGGATAAATGCCCGTAAAAGCTACGGATCGATAAGGGACACGGTATGTTAAATTCTTTTTCTTCGAAACAGTTACAAGTCTGATGCAGCCTTCGATTTCTCCGAGAAGCGATTCACGCGATAATCGTTTCCCTTCGCGACGATTCTATGAAAAGCTTCACACGCTTTTCCGCTACACACGACGCATCGTCACCGTTTCTATCGAATAATCCAAGCCGTTCGACAAGATCAATCGCGCAAAATTCCTGTCTCTCGCTACTGCTCGCGTACAAGATTTACTGAGTTGAAATTTCACGGATCGTAGCTGGTAAGCTACTCGTAAGTTACTCGCAAGTCCTTTCGTAACTTGTATCTCGTTCTTGCATCGTGTTTCTGCATATTCTTGCCACTAAATTCTAATTAAGTTGCGGATCCATACTTTGGAGAATGTAAAAAGACAGAATCTCGGTTGAAAATTCTCTTACCAACTAATTGCTGTATAAAACGTTACTTTGTATATTTTACATATTTTATATATTATTCGTATTGCATTTCGAAACTCCTATGAATGTAAAAAAATGCGTAATAGCGATATAATTGATCTCGTGGTATTAAAACCTTTCCGTTTAATTAGAAGGTGGTCACAAAGCGGAAAGGTCAATGAAAATATTCTTGTCGCGCTTCTGCTTCTCTGCGATCTTCCGAGACGTTAAGAAAATCGAAATTGTAGGATTTTAAAAAAGAACGTAAGACTTTGACGTTATCGAGGAAAATATTTTGACGCGGAACGATATCGCGATAAAGCTTGCTTAAGCTCGATATTATCTCGAACGTAAAATAAATTTCTGCCCTTTTTTAACTCGTCGAAGCTGCCGTGAGTTGTTTTAGCTGTCATTTCGCGCTACTTTCACGATCGTTAAAAATTTCTCTCAGAAATTGTAACGAGAAGCAAAGTTAAATAAATCGACGTGCATAGTAATCGCGCTTTGTTATCACGACAAGAATCGCGTTAGTAGGGACGCAGTTTCAGCTTTTCTATTCGCGGCGAAAACGTTCATTTTTGACACAGTCAGTTTCGTTTGGACAGAAAATGGAAAAAAGAAAGAGAAGTAACTCTGTTGTCTTAGTCGGCAACTTTGCCTTTTTAATTAGCAGCGAGTCAACGACTTGTACGAAAATCTCCACATTAGTCGACAGCAGCTAATCGCGACAAATGGCGTGCGACGATGTGCAACTTGTCCTACGGCTGCGAAAAAAGCTATTCAGCTCGTTCGACCAGGTTCGGCAATTTTAACAGTATAAATCATGTCCAGCGTTTCGTGGAAAATTTTATCTGCGCTCTGTTTTTGTTTTTTATCGTTTTATTTTCCTGACTTGAAGATCACTTCCTGGCTGAGCAAAGGGAATATTTTAATACGAGATCAAAAAGGGGAACAGCCTATCAGCCTATAAATTTACGTGAAATACGATAAACATATATAATAATAATAATAAGAATAATAATAATAATAATGATAATAATAATAATAATAACAACAATAATAACAACAATGATAAGAATGACAAGAATGACAGGAATGACAAGAATGACAAGAATGATAAGAATGGCATCAGTTATGATAGTGATAAGAATGATAACAATAATAAGTATGATAACAATGATAATAATGATAATAATAATTATAATATAATTATCATTATATTATATGATATTATATAATTATAAATTAATATGATAATGATGATGATAATAATGATAATAAGAGAACAGCCTATCAGATCGAACGATGGAAGGTTTTTAAAATAGATGACAAATCTGCCAAGTTCCGAGTCCCACTAAGAGCATAACCAACTTACAACTGCGTGATAACTAGATCGCTGATGTTCACGCGCAAATTCATTCGTACCTTTATCGAAGCGATAAAAAATATTTTTTTATAAAATTTCGAATCGACGGAATTACGAATTTCCATAAAAATATGTGAGCCAAATTAAAATTTGTTTCGTCCACTATCGATATTGCCACATCTACAACGTGCTTTTCGCTTCTCACCGTTTCGTGTATTTTTTTCATGCTACTCGAATTTCCATAAATATATAAGCATCGGCAGTCTAGTTGAAACCCTGAAACCTCCAAACCGATGTATTCCGTCCGAAAATCAAATGAAACGATTTTTTTCGATAATTCGAGAAATTGGTTGACAGCGAATTCCATTTGATTTGTTTTCATTGGACGCGTTCGCTTTAACTGCCCTTTCATTGAACGCTTTGCTTCGGTTCCCTGTCTTAAACATTTCCTCGGAAAATGAACTTCTTAAAGGACTTGATGAACGGTGTAGATTTAACGAAGGTAATTTTTTATACTCGCGGAACGATCTTTTTCAGAGAATCTTAACGATGGTCGAGCTGATAGGAGGAGCAACGCATTTCTTTTAAACGTCTTCGTTTAAATCATTACGAGATATTCGAACGAGTCGTAATCGACCATAAGCGTATCGTGATTGAATTGTTAATTATTTATTAGAACAAACGATAATTAATATATATTTCTCGATCATACGTTTCTACGTGATATATTTCTTTTTCGTGAAAATTATCTCCCGAATTTTCCACCGTTTTGTACACCATGGTAAATATCTGCGTGAAATAGCTTCCACGATAAAAATCTCTCGTACCTGCACGATAATAAAACTGTTTTTATTAAATCTCTTTCATTGTTTTCGAACAGCAAATCTATTCTCTGTTGCTTCTTATACGACCGCGAAATACGTTATACGATAGTGCGTTACCGTATAAAGGTTAAACTGTGTACCGTAAAAGGTCAGGCTACAATTGTTGAGAAAGTTGCTTTGAAAATAATGGAAAACGTCAAGATAAAATCTGCATTTCTATCGGTTTAATATCTTTGCATGGAATACGAATTTTATTAATTCTAAAACAATCGGCGTTATTTTCAGCAAGTTATTCGACAAAAAATTCAGTCGATATTTCACAAACTGGTTGTTCAACGGATATTCCTTTCTCCGTGGTTGTACAAAATACACATTATTTTTTCTTTTTTTCTTTTTTCTTATCGAACCTCTGAATTCGTATCACAGTTGCGCATAAATATGTACGACGTAAAATCGCGTTAGACGCTTAATTTGCAATTCTTTCGAAGAACAAAAACACGCGAATAATCTCTAAGGTAAATTAATAAATTTACTCGAAGGGTACTTGCGCGAAGAAAACTAAATTGTAAATTGCAAAATTGAATAATTTTGATGTTTCACCGGAGAACGTATCGATGAAAATACCGTATTATGAAATTTAACTGCGATTTTCCTTACCGAATAGCTACCACCATCGGTGGAAGATGGTGTCGCAACGTCGTTTCTCTGGGAAAAAAATATAAACGTCGATAAATATCGGTCAATCGTTTCTTAGCTTTCGTCTATGCCATCGATCTCAACGAATGGAATTTCCTTTGCAAGTAACAGCCGACACACACACGCGCCTCTCTATCCATACGCTTTCCTCCTTCGCGAATCTGGAATATGTTAAGGCTGGACTACATCAAGTTTTCTCTTGCTGGCGAAAAAACTTGTTTCTTGGCGCTCGAGGTGATTTCAACGAGAACTCTTCGATCAGCTTCGTACATTGCGAGCTGCAGAGGCTACGTCGCCGAACTGTACGTCGCTTGATAACTCGAATCACTTTGAATCGCAAACAACTGCGACACGAGCCAAAGAAGCATTAAGATCGTAATGGATTGCCCTACACCGATCCCCGAACCGAGTGCCAAAACGCACTGTTCTTACTCGGCTCGAGCCGAGGAGGGAAAAAAAAGAAATAAGGGCACCTCATCCTCGTTGATCGATAGAATCGTTCTGTTTTGTGTCTGTTGGGGTAAACGAAGTAGCACAAGGTACGTTCCATCACGTTGCGAAACTCGTTCGCGCATCGAAGGTAAATGAAGATACGTTTGAAGGAATGAATCCAATTAACTCCGCGAATTGGATGTGAATTCGAACAAAGCCAATAGGAAGCTGCGTCGATTCTCGAATTCTTCCAATAATTGGACAATAATGCCGGCCGCGGGTCAAAGATTGCCGCGCCGGACTGAACGATAATCGATACTCGGCAGTTTTATCAACGAACAATACGCAAACTGTCGTTTCGCGACGGACGCTATCGATAGAGTTGACGATCGATGACGCCACTCGAGAATCGTGCAAGGGACAGCAGTTATTTCTTTGCTATTATTCGGATTAAAGGTTCCCATGCACTTCACCACATTCGAATCGTTAAGTTGCACCGCTGTCGACGTACTTGCGTCCTCTGCTCCCATTGCCACGCGCTCGAGCGTCGCATCGAATTTTTGTTGTTCGCTGTTATTCAAAGTCACGTCAACCGCAAAGGCTTTCGGCTGCTACTTCGCGTTAATCCCATTCGAGGATCAAAAAGCGGAATAACCGCGTACCAATAGCGACATTAACGCGAACGAGGCGAGTTATTGTTCTCTCGAGTTTGCCAGCAACCCATTGTTTTATATTCGCTTCTCATCATCCTCGCTCTCCTGGGTAGCACACAATTTCAGTTACGTTTCTCCTTGGTTTACGTCGATGGTCTACTCTTTCAACCAACGACCTTCGCGTCTCTCCCGCTTAACATCTACGCTCGAAGCTTGAAACTTGAACTTCACCTTCGAACGTACCTCTAACTACTTGTACTCTCGCTGCGCCCAAACTTCGACAACGTACAGACGTGCAAGATGTGAAACTCAGCGTGAGAATATGCAAAAGATTTATCAGCACGACAGACCACGGACAGGCCACGCGAGTCTATTACGAAACTTCAAGACACAAAGGAAAGTTGTGTAATTAAAAAGAAATAGTTCGACGTATCGCTGCGAAGTAGCTCAATTTCCTTGACACTTTGACTGCCACGTCGAAATCACATGTTTCGCTCGGGACGCCACGGGAGTATTTTTATTATTCGAAGCATATAATAGCAAAATAATAATAAAATGATGATGTAAGACAACATTCTTCCCCAATGGACCGCTTATCTTATTGGTGGTTACGGGAGGCCACCGTGATGCCTCGATAACAATTGATAGCGACATATTATAACGAAGCTTCGTTTATTTCAACAAACCATTTGCTTTTGTTGTTTCGTCGTAAGCAAAACGTCCAGAATATATCGTTGAAACTCGTAGAAGATATTAGTAAACAGTACTTGCTCGTTCTACATATAACAGTAAGGTATGTGCACACTTCTCACTTCAATTATATGATTATAAAGCAGCATTTACGATTATTTTCTAAGCTGTGTTTATAACAATATTCGTAGATTACCCTCAAAGATATAGATGCAAGCACTGTGCACCGGTAGATGCAACATTTGTTCTCATTTTTTTTATCGATGTTCTAATAAAAATGTTTAATTGCTCAATGGGTCAGCTTTTATTTCACAGTATCTTCTATTTATCGGTTACATTCAAAATGCCCTAACTCTCAATTTTCATACAGTTTTTACACTTGTACGAAGTTCAAGCGCTCCGGTCACCAATGGTCACAGGAGAAACCGTGGCCAACGTGGCAGTCAAATTGGTTAACCTTACACGATCGTAAGAATGTAGAGTCTAGGTGGAAGAGTAATAAACAGCAAGAAGAAAAATACCGAGTAAACAGTCGCAACTTCTTTTCATAGTTGCAACGTGAATCCCATAGAATTGGATAATGTAAATTAATGGCAAAAATGACGAATGTTAATGTTACGCGTCGACGCAACTATCCTGTTAGCGTTAGGGTTCAATAACGCGCATGGTCATGGCTGATTAGCGCGTATATCGTCAGGCACATAGCTGCGCTGTGGTACTCCGAGGCGCAAGGACCTCTGTTTTCGTGCTACCTAAGGGTAGTTACGGTACAAACGGGTCGATTGAGCGGTCGACTGGCGAGAAATTTGAGTAAGTCTGTCCCTGCGGAAACGCGAGTTCGGTCGACAAGTCTGGGTCAAGGGTCGAGCGGCGGATACAATTTTCGCGTGCCAACGCAGAAATTTAATTGCGTAGATTGGCAAAACCTCGGTTCGGTAATAAACAAAGTTCGCTTAAAAATAAAGAGATCTCGTTTCAAACGAATCAACGTGCACAATGCGCGACGTCGCAGTAATATGCGATCAGTGGCTTCTTCTTTGCGACTTGTAGCGAGTTAGACAACGAGATTTTCCACTATATCTCGTCCATCTCACGAGTGACTCGCGTATCTCGCGAATTAGAGACGTAGTTTAAAGTTTCGATATCCAGTCAACCACTCGTGGCCATCGGCAACGTGTTTTTAACATTTTAGATCTTGTTTACCAGATTCGCTTGTTCGGCAGACTCTGTTGTCCTCTTCGCTTGGTTGGCGCGGTATCGCCCGACGGAACGGAAATTGCAAGCTGCAAGCTGCTCTTGACTTTATTTGCAAATTTATTCGCGCGGACATATTTCTAATTACGATTAAGATCGCCAGGCAAGAGCAACGCAATCGAATGTCACACGAATCTCGATTGCGCTTGACACGCGCGATTTATGGCGAGAAAGAGGCGAAACCGTGTCGGCGGATTTGGCACGACTTGCAAATCGCGAGTGTTACACGGTCAAGTGAATAAATATTCGCGTGTTTCTTTCGTTCGTCGATGGAAAAGTTTTATCAGCTCTGTAACTGATACGTTTTACGGCACGACGAACGATTTATAGCAAATTCTTAACGCTTATGATATAATTTGCCAAGAGTTTATACCGTCGAGTTTATAGCAGCTTGATTACCGATCGAATATCCTGTCAAGTTATTTGGTATTTCGAATTTACGTCTATACCGATAAAATCAGCAACACGGTAAAACGATGCAGCACTTGGTCTACGCGTTATTTTATATATTTTTATTCACTAAAACTACTAGAATTATTTGCTGTTTATTACGTTACGTTTTTCTCTAATTTCAAACACCACGATCAAGTTGCAGTAGAGTTAAATTGAAACATATCGATAAGCAATGAGATTGCAGGGCATATGTTAAAAAATAGGCGAAATGGATTTTCATGATCCTGATGGCGTAAAGCGTCAAGCGTAATACTAGCAATGTCAATACTAATGTCGACACCGGCGGTAAATCGATCTTGGTGGTTTAACGCACGGACAATCAAGTGTAACCGTGCAACATGCGGATTTAATCAAATTACATTAGAAAATTACGTATGTACACGAACCATACATGGCATACTTAACCCTTTGCATTCCTACGTCGAATGTGACTCGACGTCAGTTTTTATCTCAGGAGCTCCTTTGTAGAGTCCCATTCGATATTCTTTCAGTCCCACCTTTTTTTGCGAAACGTGCGAAAAAAAATCAGGATCGTATTCTGCAAGTTGTTTCAAGATATATCACACACTTAAAAATTACAAAATACAACAATAGCGCGAATAAAACTGGCATTTAAGTGAATTTGTTTCTTCCTTTATTTATTCAAACTGTCTTCTTTTTTAATTAAAGTAAATCTCAAATTCAATTTAAAAGCGTTGGGAGCTGCTGGTAACGAAATTGAAATAAAATTCCGAGTGCAAAGGGTTAATATCAGAGTCATCTAAAGAAATCGAAGTACTCGATATGATTGAAACTTAAAGACAGTCTGTCGTTTGATAAAACAATATTTTATCACTAACTTCTTTTCCATCGGGTAAAAGCGAATTCTCGGATTATCGAAATCCACCATTACAAATATTAATTTCGACGAAGGTTTTCGAAATCGAACCTCCGTTACGTTTATCGTCGATTAAAATATAAACTGTGCTTATCTGAAATTGCTCTTACGTACTGCGACGTAGAATTTTATTTCAACGACGCTCGACAATTTCACTTTCAATTTTAAAAAATGTTACGCATCGAGCGGAAACTCCTGACCCGAAACGATAACGTTTTATCAGAAAAATCGGAATGTTTCTATTTCTCTATGTTTCGTAGAACTGGCGTTTCTCGTTCGTCGTTTAATTTGTATTTTGCATGATGTTGAGGTATTGAAATAATTAAAGGTGTAAGTATAAGTTTATGCTGATTCACAATGGAATGCTAGGGAGCACGTTCATAAATTTATAGCAAAAGCAAAACATTACCAAAAAAGTTAAGCTTGTAGCTTTGGCTAGTGGCTACAGGCAACATAAATAGAAATCTGTTTATTAGTTTCTTTGTTCCTAGACCTTGCAATCCAAAACATAATGTATATTCAAGGGTACAATAATATGCACCGCTCCTTATTTAGAATATTTCTGCGTAATAACAGTCTCCAGGTCACGGATATACATAAACAAAGACGTAGAGTTTATCTTGAAGTAATTACTTCAACAGATGAAAT